TTATAAGCACTTTCTTTTTCTCAGAAAATACAGTCAGCCCTTCCCCTTCATATCTGTGGGTTTCTTAGCTATGGTTTTCGCATCCGCAGATTCAACTAACAGGACCAAAACAGTGTTTTCTAATTCCCAATTACAGATTCCCAACCGCTGACACAAAATACTGTTGTCGATCCTGGTTGGTTAAATTAGCAGGTACGAAGGGCTGACTATAGGCCAGTGATGGCGAACCTTTTGAGCTCGGCGTGTCAACATTTTGGAAAACCCTAACTTAACTCTGGTGCGTGTCACATATAGAAATTTTTTGATATTTGAAACCATAGTCAAACAAAGACTTATATTTTTGATATTTATTTTATATATTTAAATGCTATTTAACAAAGAAAAATCAACCAAAAAAATGAGTCCGCATGTCACCTCTGACACGCGTGTCATAGGTTCGCCATCACTGCTAGTCAATAGTGAGGCGAATTTTCGAGGGCACGTGGGTGGGGGTCCCTACCCCTACCTTGTTCAAGGGTCAGTTGTACTGTTTAGAAATTAAATGCTGATGCCTCAGAAAGACCTTGGAGGACCAACCCAATCCGCTTCTTGCCTGGTCAGGGCAGAGCCTTGACCTGCCCCGTGACTGCGCACTCTCACAGTTTAAAATGTCACCGTCCTCCCGGCCAGCTGTGAGGTGCCAAACTCGCCTCCTCCCTTCCCCTCAGCCTGCTGAAAAAAAGCAGCCAGATCAGGTTCTTCTGGTTGGTTTCCCTTTCCCGCCAGCTGTCAGCTTTTGAAAAAGAGAACAGGCAGAAGGTGGGCATGTCCTCTACACGCGGAGTAGGGCTGCATTTTTTATTTTACCCAGGAGGCTTTTCTCCGTGGGTGACCCATTTCTTAACTGTACTTGCCTCCCCTGATACATAAAAAGCCTCAGAGGTCTCCCTTGGAGACAGATCATAGCAAGAGGTGAAAAGCAAGCAGTGACCAAGAGATAAGATAGTAAATGAGCACAACAGACTAAATCCTCGAAAACTGAGGGCACAGCAAAGAGGGAGACATTGTGTGGAAAGCCAGAGGCCCTTTTCTCAATTCAGAGTTTGTGTTTCTTGGTGGAAACTAGCTTTACCTTCAGGACAGCTGGCTAGTAAGTCCAGTGGCAGTGAGGCGGTTCCCAAGAGAGTGTGCTAACCTGACCATTATGGGAACCGACCTCACAAATTCAAGTTCCCCCCGCCCATCACACAGCATGTGTAGTCGCACAGGTGAGGGTGTCCTCAGATCCCTGCCAGAGACTAGCACGTGTCCTCTCGTTCCTGATGGACACTACCCTCGAGGCCAAACACTGCTGGCTCTGAGGGAGTGCAGAGCTTCCAGTAACACCGTAACACCAGCAAGACCTATAGCAATAGCCGCCTCCCACTACCTGAGAGCTGGCTCGGTGCATCCCAGCCACCCTCTCCCTAAGCCTGGAAGAGGTCTGACTGCCCCGTTGGAGATGAAGGACCTGAAGCCATGAGGTTAAGCAGCTTTTCAAAAGCTGGCGGTGGGCCTGGGATGCAACCTGTTCCTGATTCCAATGGCTGCCATGCTGACTCCGCAAGTTCAGCCCCCAAATGCCGCTTCACCCGGCAGGTTCACACTGTGTTTCCTGTCTTTACTTAGTTCATTGTGCAGCCTCCTTCCTGTAAATATTTTAAAACTTAATGCAGTTCCCTGAAAAGGGCTTGGTAGTGGTCTTTGTGCTGGTAATCGTTCAGGCTGAAGGATAGGTGTAAGGGGGGTCCATTATGTAATTCTGCTTTTGCATGTTTATTATTAGCCATAATCAAGTGTTGGGGTTAATTTTTTTAATTGGCTCTTTGGAAAGTTGGGCGAAGTGAGACTTCAGCTCTGCGGACACCACGGAGGTGCTCTATCCCTCATCGCCTCCCATGACTCAGCGGCTCCAGTGCCACCCGTCAGGGTCTGTGCAGGCTCCTGTGCACCAGCCCGCGCCCTGGCTGGGTGCCAGCCACTTTACAAGGTTAGAACTGGCGGCTCAGAGCACCTTTCTGACAGGGAAGGAATTTTTCCCAGCCTCCGCCCCATCCATTAGGCGTCACACCTCGCAGGTGCGGCCGATTTCACAGGAGAGGGCAGGACTGCGCTGAGGCTGTGGGAGCGGCTCCACCCGCGCCCTCGCCTGCGCCTCCTCAGCTGGGACGTCTAACCAGGGAGCTTCCAGACAGATTGGGTTGCCCAGACCATTCTTCCAAACTTCCCAGAGAAAACAAAACATCCGGGGAAATACTAGTTCTAGTTTTCTTACCTGTCCCTCTGCTCATCATCAGTGATGCTCATTATTTTACCCTAAATTCTGACGGTTTTAACCACTTAAGTGTAATTTCCTGGCTAAAATGCAGAAATAAGGGGCTATGGAAAAAGTGAACAGGTCCTACTGATCTGTCCTGCTTTCACCTGTAGCTTCTACAAGACAAACAGGCAGTGGCCACACCCCTCCCCTTCCTGGTGGGAGAGGCAGACAGGGGTGGCGCCTGACAGTGAGGTAGCACATACCCCTAGGAAAGGTCAGGGACCCGGCTCCAGCCCGCAAGCAAAGGTATCCCTCCACATAATTAAGTTTTCCTTATAACAAGGAGAGAGGGCTCCTGGGAAGAGGCTCTCCAAGGGTTTGACAGGTTGGTGCTGTTGCCATGGTGAAGCCGAAAGTCTGGTCCCAGCCCCCTGGAGGGCAAGAGCACTGCAGTGCCACTGAGAATAAATGACCAAGAGTAACTTTTCCCTCTCTGGGAGGGGGGGAAACTAAATCTCAAAAATGCAAAGCAAGACACAAAACAAAACAAAAACGCAGGTAAGTGTCAAGTACAGGAGACAGGCCCAAGGAAACAACCAGATACATAAAATTTCCTAGAAACATGTATGCACACCTCTCATCCACTAAGATATTCACAAACTGAGTAGTAAAGTGTGGGCTTTATAGGAAAAGAAACAAACAAAACCACTATGGAAGTTCTATTTGTTTTTCAGAGTCCAGACAGCGCTCCTTAAATAAAACCAATGTGCTTGTGTAGCAGCCCATGAGTTAGTGGCATCATCTTTATAAAACAAAACAGAGTAGGCCAAAATCTTAAATGGAGAAAAGATGGGCACCCAGATTAAGGAGCAAGGTATAAAACTGACAGGTCAGAAACCACCTGGGTGCCATGTACTTTCAACTCAATAAATAGTTGTCAAATATACACATATACAAACAACTTAAAAAGCAAAGTGAATTCAGCAAGTAGATGTGCAGAAGTAAAAGAAGGTATCATATCTGGTCGACTGAAAGCAGGTTTCTAAGGCATCCGGTTGGTCAGACACCACAACCCAGTCCGGAGCCTGAGCTGAGGGCAGTGCCGGGGGGTGGGAGAAGGAGCAGTGAATGCGAGTCCCACGGCAGTGAACTCAAAACCGACCAGTGGGTTAGATATGTAATGGAAGGCAGCACATTGTCAAAAAAACAAAACAAAAAACTCAGCCACCTGCTCTCATTTGAATATGCAAGATGATAATTAATTTTAAAAAGCTGTATGACTAATGTCCAGGGTGACTTTATTTCATGGAGAGAAAAAAACACCAACACGATTTTCCTAGACACCACACAGTGACTGGCACTTTTCATTCCTCTTTTATCACATCATACCAAAAAAAAAAAAAAAATCAAATCAGCGGAAACATACCAAAATATACCCCACAGTCCTTAAATTAGCACAATTAAAATTAAAACACGAAGCAATATTTTGTTACACTGATTCAACCACTATTTACAAATTGCACTTATAAAGATAGCAACATTTCTAATACGGCATAATAGGTTATTTTGCTTTATTGTGGTTTTATATCTCAATATAAAACTTGGAAAGTTTTCTTGCGTAAAATCATACTTTCTTTCGCAGTACATAATTTATTTACCCATGAATTTCAAAACTGGTTTTCTCTTTTTGTGCTTGCCTGTTCTATTTTATTTTACAAATGGCACATACCTTCCGAGTAGGAACAATCAGACACTCCACTCATTTATACGAGACTCATTTATAAAAAGTTAAAAGTATAAGAAATGAAATATTAGCAGCCCAATCCTTTGGTTTATCTTTTTAAAAAAAATCATCCAATATCATCTACAAATCAGTGGTAACTTCTTTTTGGTTAAGAACAAATCCCCAGGTAGATCAGAATTAGAAGCCAACACTGCTGGGGGACGTACCGCGTCCCTGGCCCGCCATTCTGCTCGGGCTGCTGATGCGCACGACTGGTTTGACATGACACAGGACACAGTAAGGCACAGTGGATGGTACAAATAAAAGCAAATACTTCAGGACTGCGTGTGAGTTTTCCGCACAAATACTAAAATATGTACCGTTTTCAAGATAAAATAACAAAAAAGAAATACATATTTTTTGTTACGAAATACCTATACAAAATGTTTAAATGTACACCATCTGAGCTGCCAAAGGGGTTTTTTAAAAGTATCGATTTTCCATCACACATAAAACCATCTCTCACCAATAGGTCCAAGAGAACTTGGGTTAAAGTGTCCCAGCACTTCGTGGAGGGAGGAGGATCAATGTTCCCTTCTTGCTCTCCCTTCCCCCAACATAAGACAAAAACAAAGGTCAGATGTGGACAGGTGTATTCTA